TGATCATTTCCTTTTTTCTACTTACTTGGGTTTTAATTTGCTCTTTTTCTAGCTGCGTAGGGTGGAAGTTAAGGTCATTGATTTGAAACCTTTATTTTAATATAAGTATTGAGTGCAGTACCTTTCCTCCTAGGTGCTGTTTTAGTGTATCTTGCAACTTTTTGTTTTAATTGTCATTCATTTTAAGATACTAATTTCTCTTTTGATTTCTTCTTTGACCCTGGGGTTATTTAGAAATGTGTTACTTAGTTTCCAGATACTTAGTGGTTTCACAGAGATCCTTCTGTTAGGAATTTCATTTTTCTTTTCTTTTCTTTTCTTTTCTTTCTTTTCTTTCTTTTCTTTCTCTTCTCTCTTCTCTTCTTTCTCTCTCTCTCTCTCTCTCTCTCTCTCTCTCTCAATTCTTGTAGACTTTTTTGAAATTTGTAATATGCTTTTCAGAGTATGTCCTGTCTTGGTAAATGATTCTTGTGAACATGAAAAGAAGGTATGTGCTGCCTTTGTTGGATGGAGCATTCTGTAAAAATCAGGTTAAGTTAGCTGTTAGTGTTATAGTCTACAGTATCTTTGCTGATTCTCTATTTGTTTTATCTATCATTGAGAGTATGGTATTAAAACCTCTGTAATTGTGGGTTTGTCTGTTTACTTTTGAAATTATACTGGTTTTTGTTCATGTATCTTGAAGCTTTGTTATTGAATACATAAGTGAGTAGGGTTGTTATGTCCTGTTGACTGATTTCTGTAAATATGATGAAATAAACTTTTCTTTAGTATGTTTAGTAATGTCTGCACCTAACATGGGACTTGAACTCATGACCCCAAGATCAAGAGCCACATGCTATTAACAACTAAACCGGCCAGGGGCCTCAATGAAATAAACCCTTGGTGATATTCTTTGTTCTGAAATCTATGTTGCATACCAATACGGTCACACAAAGTCTTTTTGACTAGTGTTAACATAGTATATATATATATATTTAGGTTCTAACCTATTTAAATCTATATTCAAAATGTGTTTCTTCGTATTCAAGCTGCAATTCAAAGGCAGCTTATAATAAGGATTTACTTGTTTTTATCTTGTCTCATAGTCTCTGTCTTAACAGTGGTGTTGACATCATTTGCATTTAACATGATTTTCTAATTAAGATTTTACACTTTTTATTTTTTATTTTTTTTAATTTTAATATGATTTTTTAAAAAAGATTTTATCTATTTACCATGAGAGACACAGAGAGAGAAAGGCAGAGACAGAACCAGGCTCCATGCAGGGAGCCCGATGTGGGACTCGATCAAGGGACCCCAGGATCACGCCCTGAGCTGAAGGCAGGTGCTCAACCGCTGAGCCACCCAGGCACCCCTTATTTTTTTATTTTTTAACTTTTTTGTTTGGAGTTCAATTTGCCAACTTATAGCATATCCCTAATCAGCTATACTGATATATCAGCCATACTGATATAGCATATCACCCAGTGTTCATCCCATCAAGTGCCCCCCTCAGTGTCCATCACCCAGTCACCCTAACCCCCGCCCACCTCCCCTTCCACTACCCCTTGTTCGTTTCCCAGAGTTAGGAGTCTCTCATGTTCTGTTTCCCTCTCATTTTCCCACTTATTTTCTCTCCTTTCCACTTTAATCCCTTTCACTATTTTTTATATTCCCCAAATGAATGAGACCATATAATGTGTGTCCTTCTCCAGTTGACTTACTTTACTCAGCATAATACCCTCCAGTCCCATCCACGTCAAAGCAAATGGTGGGTATTTGTCGTTTCATTTTATTTTATTTTATTTTATTTTATTTTATTTTATTTTATTTTATTTATTTTATTTATTTTATTATTTATTTATTTTATTTTATTTTATTTTATTTTATTTTATTTTATTATTTTTTTTTGTATTTGTCGTTTCTAATGGCTAATATCCCATTGTATACATATACCACAGCTTCTTTATCCATTGTCTTTCGATGGGCACCGAGGCTCCTTCCACAGGTTGGCTGTTGTGGACATTGCTGCTATAAACATTGGGTTGCAGGTGTTTTGGTGTTTCACTGCATCTGTATCTTTGGGGTAAGATTTTACACTTTTAGAACAGCTTTAGGTTCACAGCAAAATTGAGGGGAATGTACAGAGATTTCCCATATATCCCCTGTCTTTACACATACATAGCCTCCCCCATCATCAGCATCCCCCATGAGTGTTACAATTAGTGGACTTATAACCCCCAAAGTCCATAGTTTACATTAACATTCTATGGGTTCAAACAAATGTATGACATGTATCTGTCATTATTGTATGTATGATACACAGTATTTTCAGTGCCCTAAAAACCCTTTGTGTTCCACCTGTTTATCAATACCTCCACAGCCACTGATCTTTTTTTTTTTTTTTTTGCCACTGATCTTTTTACTGTCTCTATTTTGTATTTGCAAAACATCATTTAGTTGGAATCCTACAGTACTAGCCTTTTCAAATTGGCTTCTTTCACTTACTAGTATGCATTTAAGGTTCCTCCATGGCCTTTCATGGCTTGATAGCTCATTTCTGTTTAGCACTGAATAATATATCCTGTTGTCTGGATGTGCCACTGTTTATCTACTCACTGCCTAAAGGACATCTTGATTCTTTTTTTTTTTTTTAAGATTTTATTTATTCATTCATTCTAGACACACACACACACACAGAGAGAGAGGCAGAGACACAGGCAGAGGGACAAAGAAGCAGGCTTCACGCAGGAAGCCCAACATGGGACCCCATCCCGGGTCTCCAGGATCACGACCTGGACTGAAGGCGGCGCTAAACTGCTGAGCTACCCGGGCTGCCCGACATCTTGATTCTTTCAAATTTTGATAATTATGAATAAAGCTGCTGTAAATACCCATGGACAGATTTTTATTTGGTCACAAGTTTTCAACTCCTTTGCTTAAGTATCAAGGGTGCAGTTGTTGGAGTATATGCTAAGAGAATGTTTAATTTGATGAGAAACTGCCAAACTGTTTTTTCTAAAGTGGCCCTTACCATTTTGCATCACCACCAGTAATGAATGAGAATTCTTGTTGCTGTACATCCTTGCCAGCATTTAATGTTGTCAGTGTTCTGAATTTCGGCTCTCTAATGGATGTACAGTGGTATCTCATTTTAATTTGCTTTTCCCTCCTGATAAGCCATATGGAGCATTTTTTTCATATATTTATTTGCCATGTGTATATCTATTTTGATAAATTGTGTGTTAAGGTCTTTTGCCCATTTTTTAATCAGGTTGCTTGTTTTCTTATTGTTGAGTTTTAAGAGTTCTTTGTATGTTTTGGATAACAGTCCTTTATCAGGTTCTTTTCCTCAGTTTGTGGCTTATCTTTGCACTTCTTTTTAATCTTAAGTGTTTTTTTTTCCACAGAAGTTTTTAATTTTGATGAAGTCTAATTTACCAGTTTCTTTCATGACTGGTGTCTTTGGTGTTGTATTTAAAAAGTCATTGCCAGGGGTGCCTGTTGGCTCAGTCCGTTGAGTGTCTGCCTTGGACTCAGGTCATGATCCCAGGGTCCTGAGCTTTTCCCTCTTCCTCTGCTACTCCCCACCGTGCTCTCTTTCTCTTTCAAATAAATAGATAAAATCTTAAAAAAATAAAATAAAAAGTCTTTGCCATACCTAAAGTCACCTAGATTTTCTCCTGTGTTGTTTTATAGGAATTTTGGCATTTTACATTTAGGTTTATGATCAATTTTGGATTAAGTTTTGTAAAGTTGTAAGACCTGTGTCTAGGTTTATAATTTAGCATGTGGATGCCCACAGTTTTTTTTTTTTTTTTTTGCCCACAGTTTTTCAAGCACCATTTGTAGAAGACTTTAAAAATCTTGTTTGTTTGTTTATTTATTTATGAGAGCATGATCATGGTGGGGAGGGACAGCAGGAGTGGGAGAGAGAGTCCTAGGCAGACTCTGTGCTGAGCGCAGAGCTTGAGGTGGCAGCGCTCAGTCTCACTATCCTGAGATCATGACCTGAACTGAAACCGAGTCACATGCTTAACTGACTGCAAACCAGGTACCCCTTGTTGAAGACTTACTGAGTTTTCTTATCCATGAACATGAAATATTTATTTATTTAGTTTTTCTCTGCATTTGTTTTTCAGAACTTTGTAGTTTTCCCTCAAGATATTGTACATACTTGTTAGATTTACACCTAAGTATTTCATTTTGGGAGATACTATGGTAAATAAACTATTGTATTTTTAGTTTCAAATTCTACTTATTCTTTGCTGGTATGTAGGAAAGTGATTTACTTTTGTATTTTAGCCTTGAATCTCGCAGCCTTGTTAATATAATCACTTACTAGTTTGAGGAATATTTTGTCATTTCCTTCAGATTTTCTGCATAGATGATCATAATATCTGTAAACAAAGTTTTGTCTTTTTTTTCCTCCCAGTCTGTATACTTTTTATTTCCTTTTCATGTCTTATTTTACTAGCTAGAACTTTCGGTATGATGATGAAACAAAGTGATGAAGGGACATTCTAGCTTTGTAACTTACTTGGTGGGAAAGCTTCAAGTTTCCCACTGTTTTTTTTTTTTAATTTTTTTTAAAATTTTTATTTATTTATGATAGTCACAGAGAGAGAGAGAGAGAGGCAGAGACATAGGCAGATGGAGAAGCAGGCTCCATGCACCGGGAGCCCGACGTGGGATTTGATCCCGGGTCTCCAGGATCGCGCCCTGGGCCAAAGGCAGGCGCTAAACCGCTGCGCCACCCAGGGATCCCCAAGTTTCCCACTGTTAACTATGATGTTAGCTATAGATGTTTTGTAGATAGTCTTTGTGGAATTGACACACACCTCTATTCCTAGTTCAGTAAGATTTAATATGGTTTTCGTTATGATGAGGTTTCACTCTGTCATCTGCTGTTTTCTGTTTCTTTTTTCAGTAGGCTCTGTACCAGTATGTGGCTTAAATTTATAACCCCTAGATCAAAAGTTGCACGCTCTCCCAACTGAGCTAGCCAGGCGCCCCTAAAAAATACTGAACACTTCATGAATTTGTATGTCATCCTTGTGCAGGGGCCGTGCTAATCTTCTCTGTATTATTCCACTGTTAGTGTATGTGCTACCAAAGCAAGCACTATTTTGTTTCTTCTGGTTGTTTTCTTTCTCTCTTATTCTGCCTTCTTTTGGATTTTTTTTTTTTTTTAATGATTCTGTTTTATCTGTTTTGGGCTTATTTGCTGTAACTTTTTTTTTGTCTTTTGTTTAAGTGATTGATACAGGGCATGGTTGTTGGAAGAGTCTGATTTATTTCCCAGGGGACATTTGGAAACATTTTTTATTTTCCTACTGTAGCAGGTGGGGTGTGTTACCAACATATCATGGGTAGAAGTCAGGGGTGCTGCTAAACATCCTCCAATGCACAAGGCAGCCTCCTACAACAAAGACGTACCTTTCCCAGATTGTCATTAGTGCCAAGATTGAGAAATTCTGATTTATAGTTTACGATATACAGATCTTTCTTGATTTGCAATGAGGTTATGTCCTAATAAACTCATTGTAAGTTGAAAATATTGTAAGTCAAAATGTATTTAATGTATCTAATCTGAACGTCATGGTTTAGCCTAAAACCTGTACTCAGAACACTTATATTAGCCTATAGTTGGGCGAAGTCAACTAGCACAAAGTCTTTTATAGTCAAGTTTGGAATATTTCATGTAATTTACTGAATACTGTACTGAAAGTGAAAAACAGAATTGTTGTATGGGTACAGAATGGTTGCAAATGTATGGGCTGTTCATTGTCATGATTGTATGATAGACGGGGAGCTGTAGCTCACTGCTTTTTTAATTTTATTTTTTATTAAAGATTTTTAAAATTTATTCATGAGAGACACACAGAGAGGCAGAGACATAGACTGAGAGAGAAACAGGCTCCCTGTGGGGAGCCTGATGCGGGACTGGGTCCCCAGATCCGGGATCACTCCCTGAGCTGAAGGCAGACGCCCAACCGCTAAGCCACCCAGGCATCCCTAGCTCATTGCTTCTGCTCAGCATTACAAGAGGGCTTTGTACGACATATTGCTAGCTAGGAAAAGATCAAGATTCAAATTTTGAAGTATGGTTTCTACTGAGTGCATATCATTTTCAAACCGTTGTGAAAAAATTGTAAGTTGAATCATCATTAGGCAATTAGCTGTATATCTTTAGTTTATCACAATCTTCAAGTGATCCACATACAGTGTATTGTACAGTGTAAGAACCTTATGATAGTCTATTTCCATTTCTCCCTGCCCAAACCTTATGCTATTGTTTCTATACATTTTACACTTGTAATCCTATAACACGTTCTTATTATTTTTACTTAAATAGCAGTTATTTTTCAAATGCTTTAAAATGAAAAGAGAAAGATTAGGTATTTATCCTTATGATTACTCCTTTCCATCAGTTTGTTCTATATCCAGACTTCCATCAGGTATCATCTTCCTTTTTCCAAAAGGATTTCTCTTATCATTTCTTGTATTGTGGGCCTGCTGGTGATGAGTACTTCAGCTTTTACGTATCTAAAAATGTTCTTTCTCCATTTTTGTGTGTGGTAAGGCACATAACAAATTTACCCTTTTAACGGTTTATAGATGTAAGTAAGTTACAATATTGCTAACTACATGTGCATTATTGTATAACAGATCTTTAATCTCTAATGTCAGCTTTGTTTTTGAAAATATTTTTGCTGGATATAGAATTCTAACTTGACCCTTTTTTCTTCCACTATTTAGAAAATGGTGTTCCAGTCTTCTCAGTTGCATTGTATCTCTCTTCCTCTCTTTTTAAAAGATTTTATTTATTTATTTGAGGTAGCATGCACAAGAGAAGGTTGAGGGGAGAGGGAGAAGCAGACTCCCTGCTGAGAGGAAGCCCAACATGGGGCTCAGTCCCAGGTCCCCAAGATCATGACCTGAATTGAAGGCAGATGCTTAACCGATTGAGCTACCTAGGTGCCCCTGCCCCCACTTGCATTGTTTCTGATGAGAAATTCTGTGTCATACTTACCTTGTTCCCCTATGTGTAGCATGTCTTTTTCTCTAGCCTAGTTGGTGGGAACAGGTGCTCTTCTTGGCCCTGACAGACATTTTTCCTTTTAATCCTTTGGGGGATAGATAGTTCTTTCTCCAGTGTTAAGTAGTTTATTCACAATGTGCTGATGAGTACTATGCCGAATACTACAGAGAACTCTGCAGATCTCCTGGGTTCTCTCTGCAGAACCTTCCCTTTTGGTACTCTGTCTTATGAAGCTTAGATGCTTTCATTTTCTTAGACCCTTGTTTCTGTCTCTTCAATTCATGAAGTCTTCTAGGCTCTGTCTTACTTCTCTTTCATGCTCCATGGCATAGAAACTTTTCCAGGATAGTAAGCTGAGGCAATTGTAGGGACTGTTTGTTTTGTTTTACATACATACATACATACATACATACATACATTTATTTATTTATTTATTTATTTATTTATTTATTTATTTATTTTTAAAGATTTTATTTATTTATTCACAGAGACACAGGCAGAGGGAGAAGCAGGCATCATACAGAGAGCCTGACGTGGGACTCGATCCAGGGTCTCCAGGATCATGCCCTGGACTGCAGGCGGTGCTAAACCGCTGCGCCACAGGGGCTGCCCTTGTTTACTCTTAAGTATTCGTTGTCCTTCATTGCCTACTGTCCAGTATTTGGAAAACCATTGTTTCAACTCTCTTCAGACTTTTTTGTTGCTTCAGGTATAGAAGGGTGAATTCATTCCTTGTTACTTCACCTCTTTATTTCCTTGCAATTTAATAGATTTTATTTGAGAGAGACACCACGTGTACACAAGCAGGGGGAATGGCAGAGGGAGAAGCAGGCTCCTCACTGAGCAGGAAGCCTGATGCAGAGCTCCATTCCAGGACCCTAGTATCATGACCTGAGCCACTCAGGTTCCCTTGCAATTACTAAAAACTAAAATTCATATAATGTAATTCACCATATTAAAGTGTGTGCAATTCAGTGGTTTTTACTATATTCATTGTTCTACAACATAACTATATTGTTCCAGAACATTTCCATCACCCTAAAAAGAAATCCCATACCTTAGTCATTTTCCATCCTACAACCTCTGCCACTCCCTGACAACCACTTACACACTTAATTTCTCTGTGGATTTGCCTATATCTGGACATTTCCTGTAAATGGAATTAAATAGTATGTGGCCTTTTATATCTGATGACTTTTACATTGTACAGTGTTTTAAAGATTCATGCATGTTGTAGTACTTCATTCTTTTTCATAGCTGATTAGTATTCCACTGCATGCCTTTCATCTTTGTTGGCGTGGAAGTCAGCTGCTGAATCTTTTTAACTATTTTCTCTCATGTAGTCCATTTTTGGCGTTTCCAGGGGACTTTAATATGCTGCCAGGACTGAGAATCAGATTTAGAAAGTACTAGAAGAGAAGCAGGTTTAATTAGAATAAGAAAATTACTTATCTGGAATCTTTTTTCTTTTGTCTTCCTCCATCTCTGTCTTCTTTTGATTGTGGAAGAGATACCTGATCAGTAGTTTTATTTTAAAAAATATTTTATTTGTTTATTCATGAGAGACCCAGAGAGAGGGGCAGAGACACAGGCAGAGGGAGAAGCAGGCTCTTCTAGGGGAGCCCGATGTGGGAATCGATCCCAGGACCCCAGGATCAGGAGCCGAGCCAAAGGCAGACAGTCAACCACTGAACCACCCAGACATCCCCTGATCAGTAGTTTTAAAGATTGACACTGATTGCTTTTTGTAATACATACTATTTGAGTAAATTGTAGAAAATGTAGAGGAGAAAATTAGAGACCATGTATAGTTTCACTAGTTAATACATAGGCACATTTCTTACTAGCCTTTTTTTAATTCTATATTTATTCATGCTATCTTTTTTAAAATGTTTTTATTTATTTGAGAGAGGGGGTGGAAAGAGAGAGCATGCGAGCGAGCATGCATGAACATGAGCAGGAGTAAGAGAGAGGAAGAGAGTAGCCTGACCTGGCTCAGGACCCTGGCATCCTGACCTCACTTAGCTGAAGGCAGACACTTAACTGACTGAGCCATCCAGGCGCCCTCAGGGCAGCATCTTTTTGGGTTTTTTTCAAGATTTTATTTATTCATGAGAGACACAGAGAGAGAGGCAGAGACACAGGCAGAGGGAGAAGTAGGCTCCCATGTGGGGGGCCCGATGTGGGACTCGATCCTGGGACCCTGGGGTCACGCCCTGAGCTGAAGGCAGATGCTCAACTGCTGAGCCTCCCAGAGATTCCCCTCATGCTAGCATCTTAACATTCTATGTACCTTAATATATTTGAGATTATCTTCAGTATATGGTTTTATTTTCTGCTTTTTTTACTTAACGCATAAATATTTTCAGATGTCATTATTTTTCAAGAAGTCTTACATGGCAATGTATTTAAAGCTTAGAAACATCAAACTGTTTTCCAGATTATACCAATTTACACTTTAACACATTGACTAGCACTCATTCTTGAAAGTGTCGGTTTTACTCATCACAATTTTACCAGCATTGTAAATATTGTCTTTCCAGCATGTTTTGTTTACATCAACTCTTTGTTTCATGTTATTATTTTTTTTCTTTCTTTCTTTCTTTCTTTCTTTCTTTCTTTCTTTCTTTCTTTCTTCTTCTTCTTCTTCTTCTTCTTCTTCTTCTTCTTCTTCTCTCTCTCTCTCTCTCTCTCTCTCTCTCTCTCTCTCTTCCTCTTCCTCCTCTTCCTCCTCTTTTTTAAACTTTAGGTAGGCTCTATGCCCAATGTCATGCTTGAACTCATGACCCGGAGATCTTGTTCTACTGGCTAAGCCCGCCAGCCACCCCTCTTCTTCCTTTTAGAAATCAACTTTAGGGCAGCCCGGGTGGCTCAGCGGTTTGGCGCCTGCCTTTGGCCCAGGGTGTGATCCTAGAGACCCAGGATCGAGTCCCACGTCGGGCTCCCTGCGTGGAGCCTGCTTCTCCCTCTGCCTGTGTCTCTGCCTCTCTCTCTCTGTGTCTCTCTCATGAATAAATAAAGAAAATCTTTAAAAAAATTTAAAAAAATAAAAATCAACTTTATTGAAGTATAATTTACAT